CATCTGGCCGCCGCCGCCGGCGTGGCGCTGCGACCTCCTCTGGGGCGCCAATTTCGCTGATCTGGATGACCGCTGGAGTTCTGATTCGTATTGAGATCAGAGATTCAATGCAACATTTGGGGGATCCTTTTGGTTTCAGATCTGGGAGATGAAACCCTAACTTTTTTATGATAAAAGACAGCGTCTTTTGAGTTTGCAGAGAATTCTGAGGGAAGAATCTCTCTCTCTCTCTCTCTCTCTCTCTTAAATTGACAGTTTGAAGAAAATTTTGGGAATTGGGATTTCGTTTTGTTTTCTTACAAAGAGGGAGAGAAAGGGGGTGGAGGTGAAGAGACGAGAAGGCCCCTGGATTTATCAGTGTGTATTGATTGGTTATTTCAGAATTTAAAATTATAAAATTAAGTGGTTACCCGTTAAGAAATCTTTTAAGACAGCTTTTCGAAGATAGATATTTTTTTTCCTTGGGAAAAATTCATTCCATATCATATTTATTTATACCCCTTTAATAGCATTAGTCCTGAAAATCTTTCTATGGTTAATATTATCATTTCCTATTTTAAACATTTTATTTATATCTTAATCTATCATAATTATTTCGTATCATATTCCTACGTGAACTATCTATAGCTTAACAATTAAAAATAATAATATTAATAAAATATATAAAATATCTTTATGGTATTAGTTTGTTAAGATAAAAAAACTATATGTAGCTAACGTACTATAATACATAAAGTATTGCAAAAAAAAAGCTAAAAGTTTTAAAATTGCACAAAATGCCCTGAAAATTTTAAAATTATAAAAACTATCTCGACGTCTAAAAACTTAAAACAGCAAACATGAGAATAAGAAATTAGCGCCAGTTTACAAAAAATTTAAAATTTGCTGTTAACATCTCAATATCTTAAAAATTATAGAAACACCCTCAAAAATTCAAATTACAAACAAACACATGAAATCTAAACTTTTAAAACTTGCAAGCAACATAGATGAATTCAAGGGATTACCATAATGCATAAAAAATTTTGACATTTTAAAACTTAAAACAGCAAACATGAAATTAAGAAATTAACAACAGCCTTCAAAGAATTTAAAATTTTTAATTAACACCCTTAATGTCCCAAAAATTATAGAAATACCCTCAAAATTTTAAATTATAAAAAAATAACCCTAATATTTTAAAATTCTAAAATTTGCAAACAATAAAAGATGAATTCAAGAGATTACCCTCATGCACTTAAAATTTTAAAAATTTGTCGAAATTAACCCCAAAGTTACAAAAGTTGCAGAAAAAACTCTTTCATAATTTAAAAATCATAAAAACTCTAAAATTTTAAAATTTATGACCAGTACACATCAAATCTGAAAACTATTTGTAGACCGCTAAAATTTAAATTTTTAAAAAATTAATCTACAATTTTAACAAATAAAAAAACAACCTCAAAATTTTAGAGTTGTAAGAAATATCATGACATTTAAAAATTACCACAGACACATGAAACATAAAAGTTACAACTACCAAACTTAAAAGTAATTTTTTAAAAATGCTCCTAAAGTTTTAAAAATTACAAATCACACCCTCAAAGTTAAAAACCACAAAAAGGCTAAAATTTTAAAACTTGACAAAGAAAAGTGTAATTATTAGGTATTCTTTTATTAAGATATATATATTTATTTAATTTTTAATTTAGGGTTTACTATCCCTTTTCAGCATCTAAAGACAGTCTAAGTTGATACTCGTAAACAAAAGTAATAGGAATTGATTAAAAATATCCAGTTAGGGAATAAAATTTTAAAAAAATATAATAGCTTAAAATTATTGTTATCATATAAATTAAAGCAACTACATAAAAATTATTAAGAAGTTGGACCAGCAAAACACATTAGTAATATTAATTGATAGATGTTTAAATCCATAAAAATGATAAAAGACTATAATATAATAGTTTAGCATTAATTCATTATAATTTAAAAACATTAATTTATGATGTTAATAATATTTATAGGGTAAAAGAATACAATGAATTATATATGGAGAAACTATCAGAATATTCAGAGATATCCTTTAAAAGAATCAAGTTATTTTCATTGCAAATGAGAAAATAACGAAAATAAATCTAAAATTCAGAAAACGTCCATAAATCATTTGAATTGGTATTAATATAAGGCATGTCTATTAAAGAAGCACCAACTGAATTACATTAAAGAATAATTTAATAACTTTATCTCAATCAAAAAAGAATTCTCTATGGAATATATAAGAAAAATTAGTAAGCATTCATAAATTTCATACTTTGTTCTTTAAATACTAAAGAAATTAAATATTAATATTATAATCTAAAGAAAATTGGCAATAAAAAATATAGGTATTTAGTTTAGATCTTTGTGGAAAATGGTAGAGATAGAGCAAATATAATATTATTAACATAACGAAAACTCTTATTGGATGCACATCGGAAGAATTCATTGTAGAGAAAAAAGAGGTAACTCTTATGGCCTGTTTGGATGGAGGGTAGAGAGGGGGAAGGGAAGGGAAATTTTATTTTAATCTTGTTTGGGAGTTTTATTTTGGAGGGTAGAGGAGGGGAATGGAGGGGAAATTTGGCTCAAATTCTTACACCCCAAATTGGGGTGTAATGGAGGGGAAGGGAAGGAAGGGGAAAATTTTTCCTTCCTTCCCCTTCCTTCCCTTCCCTAAGTAAACTCCCAAACACACCATTAATCTTATTTAAGTAATAAATTAGAAACACAAAGAATTTCATATATATGATATTAATATTTATTCTCATTGAAATAAAAAAAATCAAAGTCTATATTTTAAGAAGTTTATGCTGAACATTGGAAATACATTTAACTTTTTTGTGAAGTTAAATGACAAGATAAAAGATTAACGAGCCCACGAAATATAACAACACAAAAAAATACAACTCTAGCCTGATATCACAATTGAGTAGATGATGAAGACACTACTCTAGAATTGCCCGAGAAAAAGATAAATGTGAGAAATAATTGGTCTTAGCTCAATACAAAAATAAAATATAAGGAATAAAATATGATTTTTATGAATATTTTATAGAATAATTTAATTATTTTAAGTGAATTTAGGAATTTTCAGAAGGGAGTTTCATGAGATTTTTTCAGTACTTTTATATGCTTGTGCAGATGCTTTTATCATATGAAAGTATACTAGAGTTAGCATTAATATTTAATTTATAATTTTTTATAAAGTCTATCAATGATTAGGAACAACCGTCATATTGTATTTTGTATCGTTTTAGCATACATTTAACCAATCATGTTGACTTATCAGTTTTAAATATTCACCTTCTTTGTATAACATTATTTCAATATTTTTTACTTTAACAACATTGTATTTTCTCAAGTAAAGCTTGGTTTCATGTCAATTAAAATAATATAAAAATTTAAATTAGCTTCAAATTATATTTATTTTCTATCAATTCAAATATCAACATAAAAATTTAAATTGGGTGTAGCCCATTTAAACAAACATCAAAGAAAATAAATAATCACAATATAAAAGTTTAGAGACAAAAGTGAGCATAAACTATTAAAGTAGAACTGAGAAACAAATTTTATTTAGAAAGTAATCTAAAAATACTTAATCATGATATTTAACCACGTGCATTGCACGTGTATAAGACCTAGTTCCCTTTAAAAGCACGAGTTCTGAAAATCTTTCGGTAGACAAAATTATCTTTAGAATTCAAATACTAATCCATTAAGTAAGAGTAAGTTCATAAATTGATGAATTTTTATTGTATATACATAGTATGAAGATAAGTCTGTAGTTTAAATTAAAATATAAACCTAAATGAAATTATTAAATGCCAAATTTATAAATGTATACAACATGAAGGGGGCATATACAAAAATAAATAAATTAACGAGACAAATAATGTTCGTCCTAAATGTTGAACCTAGAAACAACGCAGACCTACAAATGTACATAATATGGATAAAATATTTATAAAATCCACCAAACAAATTAAAGAGACAAAAGTCATTTTCAAAATTATAAAAAAAGAAATTAAAACAAATGGCTACGATCTGATAACATAACGTGCTTATCACTCACCGACTAAAATTCAAGTAGTTCACAGTACTGCATAATTGGTTTTAAAGTTTAATTATACTATTATTATTTAAATAGAACTCTATTTATAATTGTTATCCTCTCACATGGGTTTTAAAGTTTAATTATACTATTATTATTTAAATAGAACTCTATTTATAATTGTTATCCTCTCACATGCAACATCACATACCAATATACTATTATTATTTAAATAGAACTCTATTTATAATTGTTATCCTCTCACATGCAACATCACATACCAATATATATAAGTCAAGAAATTATAATAATTCTCATAGCACTTTCATCTCCTTCTATAGGTATGTGCTTTTGTTATTTTCTTCTTATTAGATTAGATTAGATTAACTTAAAATAATTAATTATATTGTATATTTAATCTTTTTTCATATCAAGAAATAGTAACGATTTTCATAACAGTTTCATCTATTTTCTTCTTATTAGATTAGAATAGATTATTTTAAAATAATTAATTATATTGTATGTTTGATCTTTTTCAGATTAGAAATTATAATAATTTTCATAGTACTTTCATCTCCTTCAACAGATGTGTGCCTTTGTTATTTTCTTCTTATTAGATTAGATCAATAGATTAGATTAGATTATTTAAAAATTATGAACTATAAAATTGTAACAACTTTTCTTCTTAGATTAGATTAGGTTATTTTAAAGAAATTAATATATAGTATATTTGATCTTTTTTTCAGACCATAAAGTTTAATTATACTATTATTATTTAAATATATACTGTTTATATAAAAGTCAAAGAGAATCTAACACGTATCTTAAATATCAATGCCAATTGTAATACTTACATGTGAGTATTGGTTAAAATAAATTTTATATATGGAATTAACTTATATGATCCTA